ACGTCGGGCGGCGCCGGCGCCGCTGCCCGGGCACCGCTCAAGGGCCCAGGCGCTGCTGCAGGAGGCTCCAGGCCTTGTGCACCTGCCGGGGCAAACGGGAGAGCGTCAGCGGCACCGAGCCTGCAGCCCGGCTCCTTTCCCCCGTCCCGGTTCCTTCCATCCCGGCTCCTTCGCCCTGTCCCAGCTCCTTCCCCCCGTCCCAACTCCTTCCATCCCGGCTCCTTCCCCCCATCCCGGCTCCTTCCCCCCATTCTGGCTCCCCCATCCCAACTCCTTCCATCCCGGCTCCTTGGGCCACCCCGGGAACGGCCGGGCGCGGGCTCGCCTGCTGGCGGGTGACGGCGGGCGCCCACAGCGTGCACAGCACCACGTGCGACTGCTGCACCCTGTCGCAGTCGCTCATCTGGCTCCGCAGCCGGTTCCGAGCAGCCTCCGCGCTCAGCCCGTCCCGGTCCACGATGCGCTTCAAGGCCTGGCAGGGCAGAGACGGGACGGGACGGCCGGGCGCTGGGCGGGGGCAGCGGCGCGGCACGCCGGGGCGGCACCCACCTCCTCCTCGGGGACGATGGCCGTCCACACCTCGTGCACCATGTCGGTCCAGCCGGCCTCGAGCAGCACGGCCGCGTCCAGCACGCACACGGCCTTGCCTGGGGACGGGGCCGCTCGTCGGCATCGCCGGCTGCTCCCGAGGGACGCGGGGACACGGGGCTCGGCCGCCCCGGGGCTCTGCTGCCGAGCCCCAAACCCGACACGGACAGAGCTGAGGCAGCGGCGGCGCTAACGGTGCCCCGGGATGGCGGGGCGCTCGGAAAATGCCTGTGGAGCTCGCATGACATCCCAAGGAGTGGGGAATGTCCTGCTCCCAGGGCAACGCACACCGTGATCCCCACTGGAATGCTGCATCAAAAATGATCCTGGAATCTTTTGGGAGGCGGAAAGCAATCCCAGCCTAACCCCGGGAGCACAAATTCCCGATCACGCTTGCTAAATGGAATGGATGGATGCGCTCGGGGATGTGTGAGGAGCAGCGAGAATCCCCAGTGAGCGCCCAGCAAATAACGGGGTTTGGAGCACGGAAAATCCCTGCGCTGCTGCCAGGGCAGCCGGTGCCCTGGGCAAATCCCCAACCTGACCGGCAACGGCAGCGCCCCGGTTACCTAAAGCCTCTGCCTCCCCAATCTGCTGCTTCACCAGCCGGGCAATCTCAGGCCACACGATGTCCGTGAGCGCCTTCAACCGCTCCTAGGAAGGAACCATGGTGGGTTTGCGGTTATTGGCCGTCCCAGCCGCCGGTGGCAGAGGGGCCATCGCGGAGGGGCTGAGGGAAGACCCGCCACCCGAGCCCATTGCTCAGCGTGAGCAGAGAAGGCTCCTCCCCGGAGCAGGGGGTCTCCGAGCGGCCCCTTCCTCCCTTCCCTGCTCTGCCAGGGTCCCCGGGTGCTGCCAAGAGCCTCCCTGCCGGCGCAGAGGGACCTGCCGACCCTGTCCGGCTGCAGCCACCCGCGGCACTCGGTGACAGCCCAGGCTCTGGCCCGGGCAAAGCGGGAGGCAGAGGCTGGGCCGCTCAGCCCCACCTGGGGCCAGCCCAGATCACACAGGACTTAAAAATAAAAAGCCTCCGTGCAGCTGGAGAGTCCCTCGCTCAGCAGGTTAAATATTGACATTCTGTGTGCTCCTTTTACCTGGTTTCCAAAGACTTTGGCCCCAAGGACTTTTCTGTTAATTGTCCCATCTTCGTTCAAGATTTCTGTGCGATAAAAGTAAAACAGTCCAGTTTATCTCTGCAGGGTATGACAGACTCCAACAAGAGACTCGGAGGGACCTGGAGAAGAGACCCAGGGCCTGAGTTCCATATTATTCCTTCTCATATTACTCCCAAAACGGACAGGCTTTTGCTAGAGATCCAGCGCAGGGCTGAGCGTCTCGAGGTGGCCCCTTTGGGGCAGTTGTGCCCGGGGCGGCAGGACGCCCGCGGGCGGCGCTCGCCCTCATTCCCTACCTGCTCCAAAGGTGGCCACGACCTGCTCGTAGGCAGGGCCCCCGGGCACGTACGCGGCGTGGCCCAGCCGGTCCGCGTCGATGACGAAGGCTCCGAGCTCGTCCAGGTACTTGGCGATGGAGGATTTCCCGCTGCCCGTTCCTCCCGTGAGGCCGATCACGTAGGGGCGGGCGGGCAAGGAGGAGTCTTTCTAAGGAAACAAGAGCTGCTGTCACAGGGCCAAGGGTCCCCACGTCAAGCCCAAAGCGCCGTCATGCCAAGCGTCCCCCTCTACCTGCAGTGGCCGCAGCAAGGTCCCCAGCAGCCTCTGCCGGAGGCTGGAGGAGCTGACCTTCTCCTCCTCGCTCTCGCTGTGCACAGGGTCCTTCAGCAGGACGATCTCGTAGAGGGAGAGCTCGGGGAGGCCCTGGCGACAGAGCAGGGGAGGGTGGTGGGACCGGCCGCGTCGCAGCCTCCGCGGGCTGGGGCGGGAAGGAGGCGGCAGCAGCGGCCGGTCCGGGGCACCCCGTGTGGAGCTGGAGGGACCCCCCAGCAGCACGTGCATCCCGGGGGTCCCGCTGCCTTCATGGGCCCCGTCCAGCCCTCACCCCGACCCACGAGACCAGAGCTATCGACAAAGGGAGCAGGAACGGGGCCGGGATGTGGGGCAGGAACACAGGGACGGTGTGGGAGCAGGGTCAGGGCACAGGGACACAGGATAGGGACACAAGGACATGGTGGGCACAGGGATGCGGTGGGTGCAGAGATGCCAGGCAGGGATGTGGTGGGACAGGGACATAGTGGGCGCAGGGATGTGGTGGGAGCAGGGATGTGAGACAAGGACACAGGGATGCAGTGGGTGCAGGGACACAGTAGGCACAGGGACAAGGCACGGGGACACAGCGGGCACAGGGCAGGGACATGGGGACGCGATGAGCGCAGGAACACAGTGCGCTCAGGGACGCATGGACACATGGACGCAGTGGTACAGGGACACGGGGGACACAGGGACGTGGCGGTCGCAGGGACACGGCGGGCACAGGGACACGGGGACCCTTTACATTTTGCAGCCTCTTCTGGTTGACGGCGTGGCCGCCCTGGCGGGTCTCCTCGCTGAGCACGAGGCAGCGCAGCTCGGGGTCGGTGGCGGCGGGGCCGTAGGGGTCCCGCAGGGGCACCACGTCGTGGCGCAGCTCGGGCCGCACGTCGCCCAGGAACTCGCGCAGCGCGGCCGCCCGCACCTCGTAGGGCTCGATCAGCTCCCGCAGCACCTTGTCTGCAAGGGCGGCGGCGTCGCGAGCGCCCCCGGGCTCCGGGCAGCCCCCAGGGCCCCGCGGGGCCGCCCCCGGAGCAGCCTCTGGGTGCGGGGCAGCAGCACGGACACGAGTGGCGTGGCCCGGTCACCGGGGGGGGGTTTGCGGGCGCTGCCCCTGCCGCCACCTCGGGGACCCCGGGCCGGTGGTGGCGCCCCGAGCCCCACGGCAGCCCCGCACCCCACGGGCAGGGGCTCACGTCGCTCGGCCGCGCCCCCCCGGGCCCGTCCCCGCCGCCCCCGGGGCCGGACCGGGCCGGGCCGGGCACTCACTGCGGAGCAGGGGCCCGCGGGCCACGCCGGCCACGAGGCGCCGCTGCGCCACGAGGCACGCGGCGCTCAGCAGCAGCCGGTGCGCGCCG